TAGCTGCGCATTGCACGCGCGAGCTGGTAGATTGGTGCGTAAATCCAGCACTGTCAGTGGGCTGTCAAGTGGGGGGTTTGGAAAAGGAGCTATGTCCCACCCGTAAGAAATCTCAGTTCAGGAAAGTGAGATAATTGATATTAGACTGAAAAAGATTTGGCTGTTAGCGAATAATGAATTGACCGTCCGTAAAACCGGAAGCAATAATCAAGACTTGATTGAGTTAGGTTTTCATCGATCCAGTAGAAAACCGATAATCGAGGCAGGAGTATTTATGCTGATAACATTTCGGAACTCTGCAAATACTTCATATGATTGAGCCTCAATCAATTACCACAAGAAAGAGAATTTATTGAAAACTTCCACTTTTTCAAGCTCCAGGGTTTCAAAGTCTTTCGGTTCGGAACATTGTTTTTGCTTCAGAAAGTACTTAAGGTTGGCAAGCGCTGGAGATAAAATACCTAGTGTTCATAGAGCCACAGCTTTTTCTAATGCAAGAAGAGGCAAAAGTCTGTCTCAGAAATATCGACATGTGCACAGGAACCTGAAAAACATGCGCTACAGAAAAACCAGTTGACGTGGGAGGACTCGTTTTGAGATCCTGAAGGATTCATCAATTCAGTTGCCAACCCTTGGGCCACAAAACTACCTTACTTTCTAACGTTGTCAGTCAAAGACCGTCAGCTGGATATTTCTGTGTGAGAAAGTTCAATATCAACTTCGAAGTGCACGCAATAAGTGATCCGATCCATACCGCACGAACCTATTTTGCCTCAAACTTTGCGGCAACGTTGAAACCGATAAGACAATGAGCGATAAGCATCACAAAGTGTCCGACGTAGGGGCTTCATAGAGCAATTTTCCATTACCAAGCACACTAATTCAGTTCCTCTTTATTAGAGCGACGCATGGCTAGTTGTGAGCTGGATGTTGAAAGCTAGAGCATGAACAGCGTTTCAGAACTAATTTTCAGTCAAATATGATGATGACACTGTTTGAATGTAAGAGCAGATGAAACATAGACATGTTTTGCCACATGGCTGGATTTTGCCGAACGTATCCATTTCCGTCTGAAGGACACATTTGCCTCACCATCAAAATTGGTTTTCTGATTATAAATCGAACAAAATACTCACTCGGGAGTACACCGAAACAATTGTGTGCAGAACTACAGCCACACAAACATGAATAGGGTGGAAGTGGGAGAAAATGAATAAATTGACGCACATACGGAACTCTTTGTAATAAGCCCGAGTACGCATAAGCCTGTACCGGGCAAAGTCTGCCTAACTAACGACTAGATTCGTTCAGTCCTGACCAGAGGACATTATGTTAATAAACCGCTTCGATCACGTGATAACTGTGAAGAGCCACATACCACTGCCCAGAGAATTTCAGACTATTTTAAAACACACCAAGGTTTACCAATATTGACCTGTTTGTAGAAGCAATATCCGGAAATAATTGATTGGGGATTCGGGTATTTTTTTACTATTTACTTGCTATACCGAATTCGTTTCTAAGCCTCGTCACTGCGATGAGATTTGCTGAAAAAAAATGATTATTTGAGATCAGTGAAGTGTTTTCCTAACGTTTAACTATCTGAAAGGCATCAGGCTAAGAAATTTAGATACGAAGATGTCAAATAAAATATAGAAGGTGGTTATCATGGAACAAGTGTATTCCGTCCTTAGGTAGTCGTTTGATACCTTCAAACACGCAGCCCACAATCACACTTACATACAGGATTAATATAGATAGAAGTGGCAAAAAGTAATGAGCTCGATGGCGTGCAGTGTGAACTTACCGACCATTAGGTCCATGGTTCGAATCCGGCCCTTGCATCTAGTCTAGTACATCAGACCTCGTGCTTCCTTCGGATGGCGTGGTAGCTATGCGCCAGAAAGTTGTCATCGCTGAACAAACATTTATTTTTCTATTTGGAAAAATATCTCTCAAGAAAATAGATCGGAGTAGCTCGGTGGATTAGCCCTTGTGGTCTCACTGTTCAGGAAATTTGATTACTCTAGAGCAGCCGCATGCTATTCCTAACTTTTCACTCCACTCTCCTCCGGTGGAGAGTCTGATGGGTATCAACAGAGCACTACGAATGCCTGTTTACATTGATGTGCAACACGAGATCATTAGTGCTTTTAAAGTGCAAATCCTAAACAATGCAACAAGCGAGAATAGTTGCGACCGATCAGTCGAAGTTTTGCTCACTCAGTACGGCAATTATGGAGAGAATCCTGCAGACAGGAGTGAATGGCTCAATCAAGACCGCTATCTCTAGTCAGTTCCCGCCACAACTGACGGGAATTTCTGAAAAACAAAACTAGCGCACTAGCCTGGTGACGTTGCACGAGGTTTTAAAAGGCATATTCTGAGCGGTGCTATTCTCCGCAACGAGAAAATTTAGTAATGTTAACTCATGAGCCTGGAGGAGCCTGGATGGAGGTAAATTCTTTATAGAAATGTAGTGAAAACTTGGGAGTCAAAAGTCACGGAGTAAATTAAACTGGGTTGGAGCAGTTTCGGCCACAGTCGCAAAGTTTCAGTGACATTAGCCTTGGACAAAAAGACGACTGCACTGTTTCAATCTGATGATAATCGACCGTGTTCACCAAGTTTTTTCTTCCGAAACGGATACAATGAAAAACCGAAATGGTGCGAAACACCAAAATCGATTGATTTTCTGCGGCCAGCTGCGCCCCCCAAAACCCTTGATCGGAACAACTGAGCTGATAATTCCGCAAAAAAATAATTCAACCATTTCTGGCGTGAGAAAAAATGCGGTCGCCAGTTTGCACGCACTGTTTTATGTGTGCGTGCATACACAAAAAACGACCTGCGAGACTACACTCCGTTCGCTCAACGATCTGCCACGCCTGGACGGTTTGCGGGAACGCGCAAACAACCACACACGGCTGGACACGCATGGATTTCGTCTCTTAACCAGGCATTCACAAATTGTCCGACCTGTGTGTATGGCGGCGTGAGTAAAAATTTTGCTTGAGCTGTGGTGCTATGCTCTACCCGACTTTTTGGGCGGATTTAAGTAGATGTGGGCAAGTGCGTAACCGTTTACATTAGATTACAAACATGGCGAAGTCTGAAGTAATGTGAAAAAAACGCCATGTAGCTCTCTATGCCAGGAAGTGTACCTAAGAACTGTAAATTAGGGTTTAGGTCTCACAATCTGCTTGAGCTTTACAAGAGTTGTTACAGCAGCGCTGCAAAACCCATGCAGAAAAGTTGAAGGTGCTACTGTGGAACAAGGCGCCCCAAATAGTTTCTAGTGGCGGCAGTGCAATAGAACACTTAGAATTCATCATTTGAGAATTAATACAGCACACGGTTAGTCAACTGTGTTATTTGACGAACTAATCGACTGTCATCTGACCAATACTAATTAGGATCCCAAAACTGTTACACACCAAGTTATAATTAAAGCTGACAGCATGGTGCGAATTAGGCTACCGCACACTGATAAATGAGAATTTCTGCAAATAAGGCACTCCCAAGGAAGATTGCCGCCAAAATGAGACGACTCAGATACAACCCGATAAGATTTGGCTTGGTATCTATAGATTTTGGGAGTCATTCGGAAGAGCACCCGACGTAAACCCACGTATTGCGTCCAATCTCAACAAAGACAAGGGCTTTTTTGGGTNAATTAGGCTACCGCACACTGATAAATGAGAATTTCTGCAAATAAGGCACTCCCAAGGAAGATTGCCGCCAAAATGAGACGACTCAGATACAACCCGATAAGATTTGGCTTGGTATCTATAGATTTTGGAAGTCATTCGGAAGAGCACCCGACGTAAACCCACGTATTGCGTCCAATCTCAACAAAGACAAGGGCTTTTTTGGGTGCTACATGTGCAGCTGACCAACCGACATGAAGCCGAGTTTGCTACTGTGGCAGTGGAGGACCTACAGCGAATGTTTCCTTTCGGAGAGATGTTGTGAAGTCGCCAAAGAATGTTTTCTCTTCCAAAGTGTCCAGTGAGTTTTGGGAGCTATTAACTAACGAATGATAAGTTCCCTTACGGTGGAGATTTTTGTACCTGGAAAGACCTTTCGTGCTTATTCACTCGTGTCATCATGCGGGAATTTCCATTTACAACACTTTTAAGCTTCAAATTTACTACCTGCTGAGATTCTACAACGAGCGATATTCCGATGCAGTTGGTCTACGCTAAAAACCACCCTGCCGCCAACATGTCAATGGAACTTGGTCAATGTCAGCATTGTTTTTAGAAGGGTTCTCAGCAGAATGGAAAATCACGACTGGGACTAGTGGAGAATTGTAAGAAACCTGTCCCCGTTTCATAGACAGACTCCGGTGAAGATTTCCTTGTCATTTCGAACAACTATTTCTTACTACACATGAACTGACTCACAGGATCATCCTGCATTATACCAAGGATAAGGTGCGCGGAACGTTTGCGTGCGTATTGATGGGCCATCAGGGTGTTGTAGGTCATCTGAGAGTGGATGTATGTGCAACTGGGTTCGCGTGTCAGCACAGACAACTAGCACAGTGAAACTTCGTTCCACCAACGCCGGTGTATCACGGTTGGCTAATCTCGTAATCGCATACTCAAATCAGCAAAAACTGAGTGAAAGTTTGAACTCAAACACGAGTTTGTGGTGGCGTCTGCAAAGCTGTGGCTTTTTGCAGTGGTGGTGATTGGGGTGGTATACAACCAGCAGTGATACTTGCTTTGACCGCGTTATAGTGGAGGGCCATCATATCACTTCATTGGTTTTAGTATTTAGCTGTGCTGTTGTTAAAGTCTGGAGTACATTCAGTGCTACTGCCTTGCATTCCGAGACGGACAGCCCGAAACTCGGGTCACTTACGGCACCCAAAGTGCATGGAGGAATTCTCTAGTTTGATGGTTTACTGGGCGGCCATCAGTGAGAATGAGTGTAAAACTAGCAATACAGGTGGCTAAAGTGTATTCCTCTTACAACTTATTGTCCAGTATTGAACAGTGATTCGCTCCTGGTCTTAACCAGTTTGTTGTAACGAGGCTCAGTATCTACGGAGGTTAAAGTAAAGGTTATTGAGTGGTGTAGTTTGACAGCTGCTTAATAAAAATATTGATTGAATCGGTCGAATGTCAGAAGTTGTGCAAAGACAGTCTTTACATATTGCCCAGCAGCAGTATGCAGAGTCCTGAGGTCCAATGCACATGAAGTGCTCACCGGAAACAAGTGAGCGCCAAGTTGGACATACATGATGACACATGTGTGCCTTGTGGATTCAAAGTCATGACACTCGTCAGAGACGATGCTCCTTATACTATTTTCATTGGGACTAAGCGTTTTTAATTGATAACCATCGGGTTGTAACAGGTGAGTATTCCGTTTGGAACTGTCAATTCCCTCGAATCCCTCAAGAACAATATTGAATGCATCCAACTGGGAACATGATAGGCTCCGCGCTATCCTGATAGTAACGGATAACGTCCTAGTTCAAATAAACATCACCCCAAACACACCTGAAGACGAGGTCTTAACAAGTGTGTCAATGCGAAAGGACAGAGATTAGTGCCCCCGCGAATGAAAGGTCCCAATTTGGAAAACATCACGGTTAGCAAATGTCCATCTCAGGGTTTCTCCTGAGAAGATATCATCCCTGTCGTGCACTCGTCAGTTAATGAAAGAAGTGTTCATCAGTTCGAGCTGGAATAGTTCCGCCCCAAACGCAACAAATCACCCAATGACCGCAGAGACAGTAAAACGGATTCGATAGAGTGGATGTATGGTTGGCGGATCACAAGTAGAGTGTGAAGTGAAGTGGAGGCCGGTCTTCAGCGTAAAGAGGCTATATCAATATGCAAACGTAAGGTAGGCAACTTTAGTGGTTTGCATGGGAAAAGTGGGTTGTGAAAATTGTTAGTTCAGTTTATTCGCGTCGAAACAGTACAGCGACATATAGCGTAGATCGCACTTCCCAATGGACCTGGAGCCAGTGAAGTTTAAGTGCCTATGCAATGTACCACGAGATCCAAACAGGACAAAAAAAGGAACTTCGTCACTTGTGGTGATTTCTGACGAAAAACTAGTAATTATTGTTTGAAATGACTCTTGGTGACCCTCATTCGTGTTCATGATCTGGCGTGACTATCGTCGGCTGTGGACTCTGTAGAGGTGGTGGTTTTCCCACCACAGTTTTATTCACTAATGATTGCTAGTACTATTGGAATACGAATGTAGGAGTAGCAACGAAAAAGCAGTAAAGTGCATTGGAAGCAATAACATCATCATTATAATCGACAATATGACATCAGTGTTCAAAATTAATGCTTCGCTACTGTACAGCCATGATTTGTTTGGAAAGCCTTATTGTGAAAAAAAGCATAAGAGTGAGTCTTTCATACCCCTCTGCAAGCCCAAGGGCTCGCAATCCCTCTGCTTCCGCCACTCTGGTAGCAATAACTCGTGTGCATGAATGTAAATAGGTCCTATGTCAGTTATTCTAGCAACTGACGCACCTGAACTCGAGGCTTATGTCCACAGCGACGGTAGCTGACAACGCAAGTTTCGGCTATCAACCTCTCCAGCCAGTCCTGCATAATCTCCACCAACCTGTTGCTTCCTGTATACGGGTGGGCGGTGAGAAAATCACCCATTTATTCAAACATTTGTCAAACAGGAAAAAGATACGTGTAGTTATCTGACATTCTAATGTAGCTGGCGTGCTGGTTTTTGCATCGTTTAGCATGTGCACCGATAGTTAGTAACAAACCGCCTACCCGTAGGGACTGTTTCTGGCTTCTTTCGACCTTGAAGAAGGACCCGGTAACTATGACCCCATGGGTCTAGGGTGATAACTACAAGGCAGGTCTGCTCGGTCCTGAAAAATGAGTCGACCAAGCGCTTCGTCCTGGCTGGGGAGTGTCAGGTGTATGTAGCAAGATTCGATCGACTTTTCACGACCGACTACTTCTGCTTTATAATTATCATGTAAAACATCTCGTAGTTATCAGAGCCGTCTGTTAGAAATAGCAGGACCTCACTTGAATTTCTGTGCAGCGTGTGCACAACTGCAGTTGACCGTCGCTTGTAAGTGAACTCTGAATAGCAAGCGATGGAATCATACCTTGTCCAAACGACGACAAAAGATGTGGAGCAGTTACATTTAAATTGGTACTTCCGGTTAGGTCGCAACATCATTTACCCTAGTACAGTTTATTCATAGTCACACCAATCTCGTTTGAACGGTCATCCTCCTGTTCTGGCGTAATCATTCCGGTGGGTCCACACCAAAGGAAAGCACTGGACTCGAGTTTCGCCCTCACTAGAGCTCATCAGCAGTGCATATCCAATGGCCGTGCCGGGATTTAAACCCCGGACACCTGACATGCGACGCGAGAGTGTAACCGCTACTCCACCAACGCACGTTGGTGGATGCATCTGAATTTTCACGTCTGAACAGGCGAACGTGTTCACACTTCAGCGATTCGATTGGTGTGCCCGACTCATCGAACGACGACCCAGTAACTGTTTTGGTTGTGACGATCTATTGACCCGCCAGTTAGGACTTCCCAGTCAGGTAGCGTGGCACACGCTTGAAACCCACTGGGCAGCTTTTTGGTTGCAATTTTGGGGTATTGTGGGATAGGTGTTTTATTCAAAGTCACAGGTTAGTATGATGGCCTGAGGGCACAGCCAACTTTTCTGGATTATGATGAGTGCTTATTAAATAAATAGCTTATTACACACGGGTATCGACCGAAATTTTTTAATTTCCAAATAGTTTGCCGACCAACAGTGAAAATTCGTGACTTCAAATTAAAGCATATACTCAAGGATCAGGCACCGATTACGCTTCCCACATGAACAGTGTGCGTCAAAGGACACAGACATTACAAGTTAAGGGAACAAGCGGCATGGGCTATAAACACTAAAAGGACGAAGTGATCTTTTTGCTCAAACAACTGTTACTCTCGATTGGAGATACCGGCTGTGGTCAGCCAAACAAACGTTCGATAAAAAACAAGACGCCTGCAAGATTGCCACTGGAATCCGTTGACATGCAAACATTTCGCAACCTAGATAGCGGAGGAGGACTAGTGTGAACCTCACGAGACAGATGCTTTCGAGTTGCAAACTAATCACGCGCTTAAGTCTGGGCAGACAAGTTTTACACGAATAGATTAGCAGTATACACAGACCTTCAACTGTCCTCCGATTTTGCAAATCCTGCTTGCGAGCAACATGCATTGTAATATCATACGGCTTTGTCAACGCCGCAGTTGGTGAGTCAACACTGGTCTCGTTTTAATGGAGATAGGTTATAATAGATGGTAAGGAGAACTGAGGGTGTTGGAGGTAGATTGTTAGGGAAATTTAGGTTACGCAGCAAGGGTATCAAGTCATCGATCACATCTACACCAGATGTTTATAAACGAACTGTTTCCCATGTCAACACTCAGTTTGACATCACATAAGTCTGATCACAATCCAGATCACATGAAACTACACTGCTTGGAACGCCAGTATGTGTTCCTATCCCACCACTCTCTATCACACACTACCGATGGAACGGCAGATACTACTGATGGGATGTGCGAGTGGCCTGTGGTTTTCTCCAAGTACTGCCCCACGTATAACAGAAGGTGAGGTTTATTACGGAACTTGTGGAATTGCTTTGCAACGTTCGTTTACAACTGCGTGATAGCCACCGAATATTCATGATAGTTCAAGACCTGTGAGAAGGTTCAGTTTTGAAAAACTGTGCATATGAGACTTTCAATTTCCTGTCCTATAGTTTGTAACTGTCTAGTTAGTGTTTGCTCGTAAACGATTGCAGCGAGGGGTTGTTTTCCTGTCTTTCTAGATTCAGTTAACCCAATCCGGTCGGGGCAATGATTACAGAGATGGAGCTTGTGGCTTTACGGTCCCAACAAACCACGTGTTTGTCGTAAACAGGATTGGGAAGTGTCTCATTGTTTTGAAGTGCGGTTTATCAGCGCTTTCGAATGAACTTCTTCCTGTTGAATAAGACTCTGAAAAAGTGAGTGAGATTACATCATGGTTCCTCCGTACCTGCCTGGTGAATTCCGGACAGCTTCAAAAATGTAGTATAAGATCACATGCGGGTTAAAGAATATGGCACCTTACGACGACATTTTCACGTTTTCTTCGAAGAAACAAAAAACGACACAGTCTTATCCTTCCGTTAAGAAGACAGAAGAGTACAGTTCTATATATTGGGTGACTAGGTCACCAGTCAGCTGCCGTCAGCTTTCACTGGTGTCAACCCCGCTACAAAACTGTTTCGTGCATAGCACGAGAGGACTTCAATTCCGAAATAGGGTAGATCAACCGATTTTTCTGGTTCCTCTTTGGTCTATCAGTTAATGTGCAATCTCAAAGACACATGTTGATAGAAAAAGTTGACGCCTATCATATCGAGAGTGTGTACGCACTACAAAATGGTCGATTCGGTAAATGTCACGACCAGGCCGCACGGGTCAGAGGTCAAACCGAAACTCAGCCATCGATTGCGAGGCATCTTGATACCAGTCACCGAGTTAACCACAAGTCTTATTGCGAAACCGAAACCCAAGTTACTAGCGACCTTCGATGCCAGAATAAGTAGGTTTCAGCGACCAACAATAAGCGCACAAAAAACTGACCTCAACATCATGGTGGCTGATTTACACTTGTGGTTTATCGCCTTGCAATATAAACTCGCATGTTTTATTTGTGCGCCGGAGAATATTAGAACAACGCCTAACCTATGGCGACATGTCTTTCCCGTTCTATGCCTAATGGATAAAAGCGACTCATGTTTGTCTTACTGTACAACGATACCATGCGCTTCAGCATAGAAATTCCACTCCAGAACGAACAAACTGCTCACGTGCTCTTTTGACCCTGCTTCTTTAGCTCCTGTGCGCTTGAAGTGATGTAAGGGCAGCGAAGCATTAACACTGAGAACTGGTTTCCTGCCGATGATGTTGATGCAGTGAAACTGATGAAACATACCGACGCCTAGCATGTATCATACTTTAAATTGGCCGAATCGTTGCTATCGTTACCAAACCACATGGATCAGAATTTAAACCGAAACCCAGGAAGTAGATGTGAACTGACAATATGGGTGGCACTGACACCGGTTAGCTGCCATGTCCTCAGCTGAAAACAAAGAGAATGGAGCGGTTCTCATTCTGACAGACTAGCCGCGTCGATAGTACACAAACTTTTCATGATCATGTTCAGGCCCTTTAGCCATGTCACAGGTTAGCATATTCCACGTTCTCAATTACGCAAGAAAAAAACTTTTCACCAGATGATAACTCAACCGGATCACTGCAGATTCACCATGCGGTTGTTCCAGTATGCGCCACATTTAGAGACTAGACCCAGACAAACGGAGTGGATATACGACGCTCAGGGACCGTTTGTGAGTGGATCCAGGACCAACAGAATCAAGTTGACCACCAATTACCTGTGACAAAAGTCATCCTGTGAGCAGCTAAATATCTTACGTGAGCGCAGTCTGTAGCCCAATCAGCGGTAGTGCGACCGCGCACCCGTATATTGGTACTCATGTCTTCCTGATCGTATACATACTGCGTTGCCGAAGGGAATAATGCACAATATAGCAGCTTACCTATATAACGGCCCTCCTGATGACAAAGTGCGCGTATGCTGAACTTGCTGAAGATCGATCCCAGCGTTAGATTCAGCATGTTACACAACAGAGTGTACCTGAAACTATTGCCACCATCAAATGAGACAGAACTTCGATGTGTGTAAATAGGAAAGAGAGGGTCAGCATTTAGATACCGACAAACACTGTTTATTGAGTATCAGTGAAGGAGTCAAGCGACCCGAACATATTCCAGCAATGGTCGGGTCCCACATGTTACATCACGACGGATTTATTGTAACCAAGCTTTCTCAACCGGTGTATATTGAAATAAATTATTGTTAGCTCATGTTCCAGTGAAGAACAAACCATAACTCTATCTATCTTCATCATGATAATAAGAAACACGAGTGTTCCACTCACTGGGTTTATGGGTTGACCCAGGGAATCAGAACACAGATCAGTGCCTCTGAGTTGACCGATGTTGACAGCGAGGGAGCGCAAGGAGAAACACATCTGTACATGAGGACCGTTTACAGTATTATGGAGCAACTAATGTAGTACCTATTTCTAATTTGGTCAGGAAACCTGTCTTGATACTGAGAAGTGTCCCTGTGTAAGCAACCAAATATGCACAGTATCTTCGAGTCAAGTAGAACATCATTCTGGTGGGAACCCGGGGAGTGCACCTATCTGATGAACTCTAAGAAGGATGAAAGTGGTCGTTGGATGTCGAAGAGTTTTCAGCAACCTTGTGAGTAGTGTGTCCCATCCTTATATTTTTAAGAATAGAGTCAAGAGGATTAGGGAACTCAGTTCTAAATGTTGCAATAAACTAAAGCGTAGGGTCGATCCGGAAACATCCTATTCACAGTGAGCAGTCACCCTGTTCATACAGCCATACGCTGCAAATGTGTTGCTCTGCTGAATCTACTAAACTCAGAAGGTGGTCGCATATCTTTGAACAACCACTTCAACTCAACCTTGATTGACATTACATATACCGACGTACCCCATAAATAGCCGCATAATATATGCATAGATAGGGGAGCAACTTCTCCCTCCGACCACGGTCTCCATGAGCGCATCACGCACTCACTCACAACAGCTTTACCAAACTAGAAAAATGAACAAATCGATACAGCTTGTTCAAGCAAAACACATCACACGAATGTTCTTGGACATCTAGAAAATGGAGATCAGCAATCGTGTCAAACTCAGATCCAGATCTCTGAGTGGTCGGCGAAATAATAAAAGCTGGCTACTTAGGGCGGTTAATTAGCATGCAAATTGTTTCCAGCTTTGATAGGGTTAGAAGTAGCGTACTAGCTGAAGAAAAACACCTCTGCAATATATGGGCATCTGCTTAGGTCATCCACTTGCAACCACTAAAGTCTCGAGAAAATATGGACAGCTGTTGGCATCTGGATGCATCGTGTCAATATGAATGTCCGGTTAACTTGCTGCAGCGATTCAACTTGATTATTTCGCACAGTCGGAACCACCGGTGCTAGGTACGAAGTCAGATAGAAAAAAGCATCTGCGAGACCAAGAAACTTGGTGGATCCAAAGAGCTGAGGAAAGAGAGGAGTCAAAGAACGATGAGAATGTGGACCAGCTGGCGACGTCGAGGCATACAGGCGGTCCGGGTCCGCTGTCTGATTGTTGCTTTGTTCGCCAATCCAACTACTACGCTTGGTGTGCTGGCTGGTCATCTGCAGTTATTCAGCCGGATTCCAGACCCATAGCGCATCCGCGGACAGTGATTCTGGAATCCCCGACATCTCCGAAAATAGGCAAACGCCTTTTATCTCTCAAGGGTCACCGACTGTCGGTCCTTATGAACTTACATCCGCTCTGTTTAAAGCAAGAGCTGGAACTCTCAGTTGGTGCTTATCCAACTTATTTGTATCTAGCTGGAAAAAGAGACCGTCTGGAGTGTGTCGATAGAGGTGTACGTTTTCAAAAAGGGTGTTTGCAGTAAGTGTCGAAATCACAAAGAAATCAGCTGGAATCCCGTTTTAACCAGAATTCGCATCGCTTATTCTATGTCGTTTTACGAAGGGAACCCAGTAACAGTAAGCAGACTTTCGGCTAGGATGGCGCTGTGTGGACGTCATCCTCAAAAGCTCATCAAAAGGTTACAGCAACGGCATGAGTGTATAGGAGACCTACAATCGTAATGTTCATTGAATTCAAGAGTTCGTTCGATTCTGTCGACCAGTTCGTGCTTTTCAACATGCTTGCGCAATAGTGCATACCCATAGAAATTCATGAATATCATGTACTATTTGTTTTGACATTCATGCATACACATATATCGCAGGATATACAAAGGACACATGTAATGGAGTCCTCCGGAACAGTTAGATGTCATCACAAAGTAATGCGAACAAACGAATTGTCAGAAAAGATAGATAACCGACCCAGAGAGGGTAATTATGAGTCTAACTAGGGGGTCAATCAACTGTTCATCGCTTGCAAACACCATTGTGTTCGAGGGGGGGTGAGCACTCTAAACCAGACTGATGGCGTCCCTGTTTCCCAAATAGATGTTATGGAAGCTAAATCTGATTAATTAATCTACGACCAAACTCATTACTTGCCTTGAAATTTACTTTAATTCAAACACATCTAAAAGGTTTGCGTCAACCACTTCAGTGGGAGAACGCGCAGAAAGGTGACCTACTTCAGCAAGTAAAAATGTACCCAGAAGCGATAGAATTTTGTCTAAAAATAGTACCAAGTATTCGTCCGATGTCAGAAAAAAATTAACCATTTTTCGCCCTGCAACTGCAGTTCCATTAACCAGACCAACTAACGGTACCGTTTCCCCTTTTACTCAGGCAACCGCAAACCAACATGGCCATAGATGGTAATCCAAGAAAGATGGCTGTCAGACAGCAGGGAGCATCCTTTATTTATTTCACGAAATTATTTTGTTTAGCAAAGCGCACAAAACTTTAAAAGAATCCACTGTTACCCGCTGGCACTAAAGTGCATCAGGGAAAAACAGTACGAAAAACAAATACAGCGCTTGCCACAAGAGGAAGTCCCTGAAAAATGGGCTCCCAAGAAAGGAACAAAAATGTTCGAACCCGGATTTGTTAGCAGCCTATGAGACATGCTTCCAAGAGCAGAGCAGCTTGATCACCCATGTCGGAAATTGTTTTTTTGTGCTTGTGAAATACCACAATCAAAACTGCTGCCTGGTTGGCCGTTGAGTTGCTCGCTGAGCTAAACAAATTAGTTATGACGACTTCAACGCCAGTTGAGTTGGCATTTACAGCACTTTGTGGATGGAAGTGAGCGGATGTTGTACCAGGATATTCACATGGCCTACCCAATCAGACTGACCTTGGAGTCGCCTTAGTCGGAAACGGTTTTTGTCGTACGGTAGCCGTGACAACCACCAGTATCTAGCACTAAAAACATTGATGTCAAGGTCAGTGGTTCTGTCGAATCAAAGTCAGAGCACGCTTCCGTGGCGTAACCATTAGCGACAGGAAGCCCCCTATCCATGGAACTGCAGGGCACTTATTCGTACAAGGAAATGCATCAATAGAATACCAGGATCATCGTATTCAATGAAACGACGCATTGAATGTATATGAACTGAACTGTATTAAACGTACCCCAATCCTTAAGTAAGTTTGGGACATCACGCCAATCAGCACCATATGATATTTCTCTGAAAGGCGCAACTTCCTTCTAAGTTATATTGCATAATAAGTACAACTCTACATGAAGAAGTCATCGACGGATAGCTTGTGCCCAGTTCTAGGGAATGAGAGCTTTGAGGTGTGCACAGGAAGCTTACAAGAATTTGTGCTCATCGACGAGGTGGAGTGCACAAAAAACACTACGGAACTGAAACATTTCTCTAGAGTAGGAAATGAGGAACTCCATATCCTGGAAATTACAACCAACTAGGCAACGGTACACGCATTTGTCTGCTGGTCAAATGTTTCACCTTAGTTATATGGGTCAGGTAAACTCACTAGCGAATTCGTTAAGAGGACAGCTGATGCCAGAATCTCTGATTGCCTCCTTATTAGTGATTCACAACCGTGACAACATCCAGTTTCATTTCCAATGCACTGAAAGAGAAAATCTCTACAACCTTCACCTCAGTTGTTTCTCTTACCATGAGTGTGCAGAATGTATTACAAAATTACGACTGAAAGCGTATGCACCCCAAAACAAAGGGGTTCTAAGAAGAGTGGAATTTTGGCCGGTCTCGAGGATGTGCGCTCTTGGGAGGGGGGCTGCAGACTACGTTTACTGTGGCTGCAACAGACTTTTGCAGTAAACTTAGGGGCGTCACGTGATAAGTATGAAATGTTGTACATTGTTGAGCAAAACACCCTGAGCTCTTTCAGGAAACACTGCCAACAGCATTTTGAATTTTGAGATCAGTTAATAATATTAGTTGTACCGAGATAGAAGTGATGGCTCGAATAAGACTCCAACAAAACACTGATTCGCCTTCAGCGAATTGTTGAGGCAACATCACACTGGCGTTTGCTGAGCCGAATAGAATGCAGGAAACTAGACGCCAATTACGTTGATTCTGTGGCTAAGCTTGTATTGAAGCATGAAGTCCAGAGCCCTAATAAATCTAGGACAGATCACTGCGAATTCCTCCAGGGTCGGGGGCTTGTACACTTGAAAGTTGTTCCAGTTGACATTTTATCCTTCAGGGTAGAAACGTTGAGCAGCACTCTAGAGCCATTTCATCTTCGCTGGGAATCATCAGCTATACGTACCTCGCGAATCTTCAGAGTGATTCAAACCATCAACCCCGTGGTCGTTAGCTGAATACTACATCATCCGGTGACGAGCGGCCTGTGACTATTGTGATTAGATCGTGCTTGGACGGAATATAGCGCCACAACTCTTCAGCCAACCAGTTCAAGTCACGTGATCCCGTACTGACTAATTTCCAGAGCGACGAATTTTATGATGGAATATGTGTGAGAATTTTCATATTGTGAGCCGTTTTATCACAGTTTGTATAGTATGGTGTTGCTGTGGTGTAAACAAGCCCCAATTATTTTTCTGATTTCTCAATTTGTGGTGTTGTCCGTCGCCAGCATCAAGGTGTACTGAGGTAAATTAGAATCAACTGACAAAATGGTTGCTGTAGCTTTGGGGAAACAAAACTTTGTGAGCATGGCTTTGGTGTAGCCGTTCACTGGATTGAAATTCAGATGCCTATTAGTTGAACAGCTGAGGAGGTGACAATTCTTTGTTTATTTTACTGAGCTGTCGGAATTGCAAAGCTGCTCAGCAAAGAGGGGAAAGCAGTTCATGCAAATTTATCAATAGTGCTAGAAAATCATTGGCAGGAACCGGATCATTACATTGCGAAATGTTTCCGTCTCAGGATAAGGTTATAACAAAATTCGGCGTATGATGTTTTTTCATGGGGAAACAAGTCACTAGATAGCAGAAATGGCAGCCAAGCTACTGCAGACTTGTGGGTATTGTTCGGGATAGTTAGTTAATGACAGATATGGATCCGAGCTTGTTGGATTGCAGAGTTGATATGCGTGGCCGCCATTCACGTCAACGGGTAACAGAGAAAAGCGATGGAACTAACAGCAAATCTGGTTTAATTTTCGTGTTCTTCGTGAGAAACCTATACATTTTGCAACCCAGTCTCCAAATCAGAGGCGGAAATCAGATCAGATCGGAAAATTCAATCGAAAGAAACTGAATTGGGACTAACCTTTATCAATACTAAGTAGTGAATCAAAACGAACAGACCGACTGAGACGAGGCCACTGAGCAACGGAGAGAGAAACCACGAGGATACTGCGTTGGCATGGAAGATGAGAAATAGAAGTAGAAAGAAGTTATTAGGAACCCAGACTGGGCAATACAAGCAATAGGATTTTCAAATTTTACCAGTGGGAAAATCAATCGCAAGTGGCCTAGCAACATAAAGGAGGTGAAAACAGAACTTAACCCAACTGACCAAATCAAAGTTAAGCGGATTATACGTTTAGAGTACGTATACAACTGGGATTTAACTGGGTCAAATATGATAAAGTTTTTTGTCTCATTTTAGTAACTTAGCAGATGTACTGTCGAGAGCGTGAAAACTGCATAGTGGTCCGTTGTGCGCCGACAAGTGTCAAAGATTGACGACCTGCATCCGATCAATAAAAAATAATGCTTCCATGTGAGGCAAATCAGTGGCAGCCTCTCGGTCGATAACAATGCCCGTGGAACCACCCCTGTAATCCTTACAAGCCAATAGTTGACCACCTGTTATGAACACTAAAAAACGGTCCAGCTGTTCGCTGAAATGGGCGATTTGACTGCAAACGTCACCAATCGAGGTGACACCATCAGTGCACTGTTAGGGGCGATGGGTAGTTGTGAACAACCATGGACCTGCACAACTACCGACCCATCGCTACGCTCCTGAACAACCCACTGATGACGTCTCCGCTATTGATGATGAAACGCTTGCAGTCACATCGACTAGCTCAGCGAGCAAACCAACGACCATCTACGCTAGCTGAGCTAACGAAATTATCTTCAATAGCAATATTCCAGCTGTGGCAACTTTTCGGTGCCTAACTGCTATACCACCCGACGGCGTTATGAGGGCTGAGATACTGCCAAGTTGCTCAAACCTGGACAGGAGCGGTCAAGATGTAGTGGTCCTGTTCGAACCACGGCAAGTTCGTGCCCTAACCACTTAGCCATCTCAAACGCTAGTCCACTTTGCCCACCTCATATTCAATCACGCATTGTGCAAATTCTGTAGGAATTTAATTTTGCAACTACAAAAGTTTGGGTCAAAAATTAAAAAAAAAACTTGAATTGAAAAATCCTATTTGATCATTCAGCTTTAGCATCCCATGGGTGTGTAGGTCCCACGAGCTCAAGGAAAGTGATAATGGGATCGATGGCACACATACTTGCCTTGGCATGGAGAACTATGCGAACCTTACTAATGGAAAATTAATTTATTCCTAATAGACGGAAGCATGCAAACCTGGCATGGGAAATTTGCCACATCGGTGTAAGTAGAGCAAGTGGATCTGATTCTGGGTAGAAAGACAACCGAAGTTAACTGCGCTAAAATACTTTTCAAAAGTCAAAATGGATGGACCGAAACTGACTGCTTTGTAAGGACGTACGACGAAACTCCATGAGCTATATTATGTAGCCTGTTCGGAAGATAGCTGAGACTGGCTGTAAAGGACTGGTAGAACTAGGGAATGGCCTTCAGACTGGAACACCTCTAGGTGGGTTGGGTAGATCCCGTAGATAAACCCGTCAAAACTATTGCGATTTTTCAGGCAATATTTGGGCTTCTTCTGAAAGGGTATACAAGATCGAGGACCTCAAAGCTCAATTGTGAATTTTTCCCTGCTGTAGAAGGGTTCCACTCGCTGAAGCGAACCAGAACGTAAGTGCTATAGACTGTTGACTACTTTGCAAGGGGCACTCAGTCATATGAAGGATAGAGGTTCCAACTCAGGAGCGATCGGTTCCGAACATTTCCGATGTGTAATCATCACGTAGTACTCCAAGCTCACGATATCTTTCTTGAGAACCGGAGGATAGGTAGGTTGTAAGGCGGTGAAGCATCAATGCCAACACTGATGTTGCTGTCTTTGATTATGATGATGATGATGGTGGTGGTGATGAGGATGATGAGGAACAAATCGAATAATCCTGACGACCTTAAACACGTGTTAACCCCTGCAAAAACCAGTAGGAAATCCGGTGAGACTGAGGACGGCACATGTAGTAGTCGGGGCACTGTGAAACCTCTATAAGCATGACCGGAATAAATGGCAGAGAACGGTAAAATGATGGCCCAGAATATCTGACGAGTTACTGGCTGATAAACTAAGCAATCGTTCCAAAGGATGAGAGATAGGATGAATAGGGACGCGAACCAAGGTTGTGAGGCGGGAATTTAGCAGCAGGCCCGGTACGAACAACAATATTGACGAGAATGATGTAGATGTTTCTAGGCACACGTAAATATACGAAATTCGCTATTCTAACTGTGAGGGTTTTCAATGTTCACTACGGGATCAGGGTTCGATCTTTCGCAGACGGTTTTGAATTGGTGTGCTCTATGAGGCACATGTTTCAATCCGTATGAAGCGTGTGATCAAACCAATACTGACAGCCCAGCAATTATCTCATTTGATCTCCGCATCCACCGAATTAGAGGCGTACAACTTCAGTCATTGTCTGACACCCGTAAATAGCACCCGGAAAAAAAAGGGCAACCACTGACGACGGACAGGTCTTATGGATCAACAAAACGTTTCGGGATTATTTTTGATTGTTTACTGGATAAGCAATCTGGCTGTAATTTCTCAGAATGTGTGCACAAGACGAACAACAGAGCGAATTACACGAACTAAGCATAGTATTCAAGTTGAATTTCGATTCGAAACCCGAGACAGACGGAAAGATAATTGACTTCTCTGGCGATCAGATGCACAAGTCAAATAGCGGTAGAATTAAATGCCCCCATTTTTCCCGCCACATTATGTTTCGGTTGGAGGGGCCCATCTTTTATTCACCAACTTTTGAACTGTTTTTTACACGATGAATCTTCATGAAGTCTTCTTGGGGCTTGAAATATATGGATGGATTCGCTCCATGTTATGTCCCTCTTTCACACCGTCACGTTGCTTGAATCCAAGTGAACTGCATTCTATTCCCTTTCCGAAAGACAAAACCAATGTCAAGTTGGTTTCATCTAGCCAGGGTAACCCAGAGTCAATAACATTGTAGATTTTCGTCTGAACGACTCGGGTTCGAATCCTAGCACGGGCTCATCGAAACAGGTTACCGGTCACCGTTTCGAAATTTAGATACACATGTTTTTCAGTTAATAAATTCCAAGGTAACTTCTATTCGTGCCTTCCTATTGCGTATACAGAGAGAGATAGTGAAAATGAATTACCTCCGGAGCTTCGAGAGACGAGATGAACCAATTCTCGCAGCTTATGATATTTAAAACACGTCTGTCCAACCCAAAGCCATTGGAATCCAGGATCTGAGACCTTGAGATGTGTATCAAAAGAACTGTGGCGTGTCCAAAGCATCATCATCATCATCATATGATATTTAAACACGTCTGTCCAACCCAAAGCCATTGGAATCCAGGATCTGAGACCTTGAGATGTGTATCAAAAGAACTGTGGCGTGTTCAAAGCATCATCATCATCATCAAAGACAGCATGACATCAGTGTTCAACACCGATGCTTCACTGCCGTACAACCATGACTTATTTGAAAGCCTTATTGTAAAGAAAAGAATAAAGGTGGATGGGGGAGGGACTTAGTGCTAGCTTAACACAATCATTCCGAGGTGCCTACACCTCCAGACATTCACTCAGGCAATCTGGACAGAAACTGACAACAAGAACGCCACTGACATCGGTTGGCAGCCATATCTTGTAGTGTCTCCAACCAGGCACAGTGAGGATCACGCGGTCCCCATCCTGGAAGGCGAGTAGCACCGACAGCACCCAAGAGTTTCGTGATCTCCTTCATACTCCTCTGCCA